ATATATATATATATATATATAATATATATATGTATATATATATATATATATGTATATATATATATATATATATATATATATATATATATATATATATATATATATATATATATATATATATATATATATTATTTAACAAGTAGGCCGTCTCCCACTGAGGCACGGTGACCCAAAAAAGAAAGAAAATCCCCAAAAAGAAAATACTTTCATCATTCAACACTTTCACCTCACTCACACATTATCACTGTTTTTGCAGAGGTGCTCAGAATACAACAGTTTAGAAGTATATACGTATAAAGATACACAACATATAACTCCAAACTGTCAATATCCCAAACCCCTCCTTTAAAGTACAGGCATTGTACTTCCCATTTGCAGGACTCAAGTCCGGCTTTATAAAAATAACCGGTTTCCCTGAATCCCTTCACTAAATATTAACCTGCTCACACTCCAACAGCTCGTCAGGTCCCAAAAGCCATTCGTCTTCATTCACTCATATCTAACACGCTCACGCACGCTTGCTGGAAGTCCAAGCCCCTCGCCCACAAAATCTCCTTCACTCCCTCCCTCCAACCTTTTCGAGGATGACCCCTACCCCGCCTTCCTTCCCCTACAGGTTTATACGCTCTCCATGTCATTCTACTTTGATCCATTCTCTCTAAATGACCAAACCACCTCAACAACCCCTCTTCAGCCCTCTGACTAATACTCTTGTTAACTCCACACCTTTTCCTAATTTCCACACTCTGAATTTTCTGCATAATATTTATACCACACATTGCCCTTAGACAGGACATCTCCACTGCCTCCAACCGTCTCCTCGTTGCAACATTTACAACCCAAGCTTCACACCCATATAAGAATGTTGGCACCACTATACTTTCATACATTCCCTTCTTTGCCTCCATAGATAACATTTGTTTGCCTCCACGTATACCTCAACGCACCACTCACCTTTTTTCCTTCATCAATTCTATGATTAACCTCATCCTTCATAAATCCATCCGCTGACACGTCAACTCCGAAATATCTGAAAGCATTCACTTCTTCCATACTCCTCCTCTCCAATTTGATATCCAATTTTTCTTTATCTAAATCATTTGATACCCTCATCACCTTTCTCTATGTTCACTGTCGAATTTCTACCTTTACACATTTCCCAAACTCGTCCACTAACCTTTGCAATTTTTCTTTAGAATCTCCCATAAGCACAGTATCATCAGCAAATAGTAACTGAGTCATTCCATATTGTATTTGATTCCCATAATTTAATCCCACCCCTCTCCTGAACACCCCAGCATTTACTTCTTTTACAACCGCATCTATAAATATATTAAACAACCATGGTGACATTACACATCCCTGTCTAAGACCTACTTTTACCGGGAAATAGTCTCCCTCTCTTCTACACACCCTAACCTGAGCCTCACTATCCTCATAAAAACTCTTTACAGCATTTAGTAACTTACCACCTACCTGGAGTTTACCTGGAGAGAGTTCCGGGGGTCAACGCCCCCGCGGCCCGGTCTGTGACCAGGCCTCCTGGTGGATCAGAGCCTGATCAACCAGGCTGTTGCTGCTGGCTGCACGCAAACGAACGTACGAGCCACAGCCCGGCTGATCAGGAACCATTGTACCATATGGTACTATATGGTACCATTGTATTCAACACAATAACCGCACTAATATTTTCATCATTTTGTTTACAATAAACTTGTAAACAAGTTTTGTAAGCAATATAATGATAAACAAATTAGTGCAGTTATTGTGTTGAATACAATGAGTGTACACTTATACAATATACATTATACTGGTCTCACAAGCCACAAATGTTATTAGAAAAAAAATTTAGAAAAGAAAAAAGTATAAAAAACATAAAATAAAAAAATGGGATTTTGCGGAAGTCATTGATGCTGCCGCCACCCGGTCATTTTGGGTCAACTTCCTGCCGCTGTATCTCGGTAAGTACTGATAAAATTTGTTTTTTTTTTGTGTTTTATTACCTTCACAAAAATATTATCTTTAATTCTGTAAGAAAAAAAATTTTTTTTTTTTTCAAAATTTCTTGGACACTGGAGCACCACTTCAGATTTTGGCCTTGGACCCTGAAAGGGTTAATAGATGAACTTATTAAATCTTTTTTCCTGTCTTATGTGTGAAATCTGAGCATGACACTTTTCTACCATGGTTCACTAGTAACAGTGATTCTTTTATTTCTGACACTGGTACATTAACCTGTAGGTGGTCAAGTATGATCTTTAGAGTTGTAGCCACGTTATCATCACAACTGCCAGATCCACCTTCTCATTGGCTGAACCTAGATGATCTGACGATAGGGCTCCATTATCTGACCCTTAGTATCTGGTTTGCTGGTTGGGGAGGTAACCTTTTAATGAGGGTGTGTACATGTGCTGAATAAAGGTTACGTACTCTTTGCATGCCACAACTGGCTTCAAAGGCATAACATTATGAGATGGACCCCAAAAACGTTAAAAGAAAA